AGGCAAGTGGTAGTACGGATAATTTTGTATTGGGTGAATCGTCGCTTTGATAATCGGAGTTCTACTGTAATGGTCTTCTATGAAACAACTAGCACACACTCCAGTAAAAGAAACTTTCTTCAATTTTTCATTTAACTCAGTCTATAATTTTTAATTATAAAAAAATCTATTTCGTTATGTTGTATATAACTGTAGTTCTTACTGGTTGGATTTAAATTAAACCTACATTTTCTGAAATATAACACAAAAACAATAGAAGAAAGGCAAAAACAAGTTAATGAAGCGAGAAAAACAATTTTAATTTAACAAATATTAATTTACAAGGTAATTTTCATCTATCTTCGGCTCTACCAAACTTTTCCATGTCCGAGTCCATATCCCAGCCCGAGTCCGTATCCACCATATCTCAGGCCGAGTCCGTATCCACCGTAACCCAGACCAAGTCCATATCCGTAACCACCGTATCCCAGACCGTATCCGTAACCAGGGTGACGGATAGATGAGCTGTAGGCTACAGCACGTCCTACTGGGTATCCGTAGCCGTAACCGCCGTAACCACCGTATCCGTAGGGTGCTCCGTAACCGTAACCGGCGTAACCCAGATAACCGGCAAGGGAGGTGGCCACAAGGGCAAACAGGATAGCTGCGATCTGTAATAAAAAATTCCACGTTAGACCTCTATAATAAAGTATACAGCGATGTATACATTGTGTTATGTATACAATAAGACTGTACTCACCATAGACTTCATGTTGATGGTTGCTGTGTTGTGTTGGTGTGATTCTGACTAATCGGGATCTGCACAACTCCTTTTATACTAAAATTCGAAGGTATTTACTGGCATTGATTTAAAATATAACGAGTTTTACGTGGGAAAAAGTAATAAAAAGTGTCAAGGTTCTGTTCGAGTCGAAACGAAAATTGTTTTATCTATGGATATGTCATATAACTCTATGTGTATTGTTAAAGGTGTACATGACCCTTAATTTTGTGACGTATCACGTTTTCAATGAACGACTGGTTTGTGTCGTTTATTTATAACAAAGTTTCTAAAATTAATGAAAGTCGATTTGCAATTATTTCGTTTGGAATTGAATTTAGTGGATTTATACGAGTAGAGTAAAAGTATTTATTTCCTATTGATTGATGCCATTCGATAGTTTTATAACACATTTTTAATTAATTTAAAGAAAAATTTGATAGAAAAATGATTTCATTGTCGTACAATTTTACATTTTATTGAACGCAGGATAATGTTCATTTAAAGAGAAAATTCCAACAGAAATTACAATAATTTTGATTAAAAAGACTCACGCTTATTAATTTTTTAGAACGTGAAAGAATTCGGTTTTGGTGCCAAATCTATAAAGTTTTTGATTTACTCAATTTTAGGTTAATAATTTGCGTAGAAACGAAGTATTAGCAAAAAATTAATCCGGTAAACAATTATTTAAACGTTCTTTATATCACTCAAGAGAAGTGAAATGTAGTTAGTCCATTTACAAATGTAGGACTCTACTCATCTTGGAAAACTAAAAAAGGTATACTTTATATCAGATATAAAATAAAAAAAATTTCTTAGTAGTTATTGATAGAAATTTTAATATCTGTCGTTTTTGTATAGGTTCTTTAATTAAAAGAAAGACCAAGTTATAGGACCCTCAGATACAAAATAAGTATCCTTTCTCCCCCCCTTTCTATCGAGTTCTGATACTCTAGAAAAGAAGACAAAGGTAAGAATTTCTGAAACGTTACAATACTTTCTATAATGACGTAGAGTCGTTCCATTGTGTTTTCGTATAATTAAATACATTTTTACGTATCTCAAGTGGATTATTTTAATTAAAGTTGAAAAACGGAAAGAGGGAAATAGACGTGCTGATCCATAAGGATGCGACCACGAAAAGGGAGATTCAGAAGAAGATTCCATTAGTATTTTCTTGTTTAAATTCGATAGGGTTATTATAGAAATTGTAGGAACCTTTATTAAGAGGAAGGAACCTTTTTGTAATTCTCAGGGTCTTAAGAGTTACAAAGAAGTACCTTCCGCTTAATACAGGTTCGAGAGATTGTATGCAGTCACTATATTTATACAAATCTTATCTGTTTATTACACTTAAACAGATATTTATATTAGAAGAAAATCTGGAAAACGATGATAAACCGATGTCAAAATAAACATTTTTATATTATATCATTTTATCAGGTCGCTCTACAAGCTAGAAAAGGTTACACCTGGCCTGAAGGTCGAAGTTTCTCCATTTATGGATTAGGAGTAACCTCGAGACATCGTTGGAAGTCGATATAAGAAAAAATTTCTATTCTCGAAGCTTACTGACATGTTATTAGAATTGATAACAGGAGTTTCTGGTTGTTCCTCTCAAGAAACAGATGGAGTCCTTCGACGGTTTAATCGATCTTTTATAGTAATAACGCCATTTATTCGTCTAGTGTTTTAACTGTGAGAAATTTCTACGTAAAATTAAATGTTTTACATTTGTTTTCTGTAAGAAATGTATTATCTTTCACAACAATATTTTTACGTTTAAACAAAGTAAAGATAATTATAACATTTCAAAGTAACATAAACATTCTACAGAAGAAAATACATATAACAGTAAACACGAGTAAAAATATACTACGAATAAAATGGTTTATAATAAATCCATTCACCAATGACGTTTCTTTAATGACATTCTCTCAAAAAACTTTATTTACGTAATATATAAACACTACAGTATAATACAATTCTGTTATAATGGCTAATATGCAGCCGGCGCCACCGTCCGGTCAGCCAGCGCCACCGTATGAACAATTAGCGCCACCTCTCGACAGCTAGAAGAAACTTCTGTAAACTTATCTATAAAACAAAGGAAAACAATACGCAGCATTTATCTTTAGAGAGAGTTTGATTCAGTTTACCACCTTTTATTAAGGTGTAAACTCAGAATGTGAGAGAGATAAGTTTGTAAATTTATACCAGGCAACTTACGTTGAATGTCAGTTATATAATAGAGGAAATCGTCAAAGTTCAAGGGAAAAAAAACGGCTTATTCTAATGAGGATCTTCTTCGATATAATCCAGTCAGCTCTTCTTTTCTTTTTATTTCTGAAAGATTTGCCGTGTTATCTCAGAGATAATTCGCTGTATGTCAAATCATTAACTTCAGGATTGGTGAACGACTATTTATTGTACTTTATGGTGTCCTTGCAGACGAAACTTGATATTATAATATGTACATGATGCATTGATATGTGAGAAGAAGAACAGTGAAAAATTTGGAGTGAGAAAACGTGCCAATTGTTGTGTAAAAACAATGCTTTAATAATTGGAGAAGAACTGCAGAGTTTTGGGACCAAGATGTCCGAAGAAGTGAGGAGTTTATAATGCATATGAATGTCAGTATGACAAAAGTTTGAGCGTTATACTTGAAAACAGTTGATTTTTGACTATAGACTTGATTGGATTGATGGAATTGGGTAATACAACACATGCCAAATAGGAAATGCCTTCCTGGAAGACTTTTAGGGAAGCTGGGCCCTATTTAAACACTGAAGAAAACCCGAAAAACCAAGTGGCCAACCCGTTAATGAGTTGCGAACACACGACCAGACCAGACCAGACCAGACCAGTGTTCAATGGTTACTGGTGGACATTTTCTGCCGTTTATGAGCGTTTGATAGTCACGTTTACTCGCATCCATATTATCTAATAGCATAAATATAACTAAATATAATCAAACCTCTAAACAACTGCCACTGAAACATAAAAAAATTGCCGCCTTTATTGAAGGTTCGACTATATTATATTGAAATGTCACAGTTAGTGCAAAATTTTGCATTGTTTTTTTTACACTAAAAAAATAGAATATTCACACTTAAAAAATTAATAATAATAAAAAAAAATCTATCTGTAAATCTTTTTATTCACTTAAATATCGTATTTTATACACAACTTCAACGTCAACGTCATCGTTTTCAATACTTTTTTTTTATACAATATTCGAGTATGATTTCCCAACTGAAAAAATCAGGATAATTAAATAATTCCCCCCTGATAAAATAACAAGACTAGAAATACAAACTTAAAACACATCATAGTTCCTCTGTGTGCAAGACAATTTCCATTGTTTCTTTCATTTTGCAGAAGCTACCGACTGTGCAAATATATGTGACAAGGCAAGTTTTATTAATTATAATATAATATAATATATAATATATATATGTGAGTTTGTATATATGTGTGAGTGTGTGTGTATGTGTATATATATATATTTATTTATATATAAGTACAGTGTGATGATACACGTTAAAATATACAGTGAATGAGGGTGAAAGATGATGATGATTTGGCTAAAGTGCAAAGTGATTACTGTGAAGAAAAGAAAAGGATAAGAGTTTGTAGAAAAGGAGAAACAACTAAAAGTTTTATAATCAAAGCTGCCATTTTCATTCTTACTCCAGTTCTTAATCCTTTTAAGAAAAATGGGCGCATTATCATAAAAATAGCTCTTTCTATTAATAGATATATCTTTTTCTATATAAGCTATATATATATATATAGATATATATATAATATATATGTATAAGCATTGTATATACAAACATCTAACCTTTGATAGGAATGCAAAATAATTAACAGAAATTAATTTTTTATAATCCAATTTTGTTTCTACGAATCGTCTTTTAAATAGAATATTTTTTTTTCTATGCGCGCAATTCCTTTTGTTATCAAAATAACTTGGCATAAATTTCAATTCTTACAATTAGTAGTGTAAGAATTATCATTTAACTCTTCATGAATATCACAGCATTTCGTCATTTCCTAGCTTAAAACACTTCAAACAATGGCAATTTGTTGTTGTTGATGGTGTTACAATTGTTGTTTCTTTGTTATCTAATGTGCAAATGTGCGTCATACTATTAGCGCAAGTAGATGATGCCACCCAACAAAAGCTTAGGATTTTTTTTCTTTTTTTTTTTTAAATATATATATATATATATATATATATAAATGAACACGCACAAACTAATTTTACGCACACTTTCATTACGACAATATCGAAATAAAAAATAAATTATGACACTTATAAACATTAACAAATAAATAAATTAATTTTAAAAATGGTTCTTGACTAGATGAAGTTCTGAGAAGATTTCGACTTGTTTTTTTTTTTCTTTTTGGTACATGGGTTAAAGTCCTTTGAAAAAAGAATTATGTCTTTGGTATGCTTTCACCTCCACACTTTCAGCTTTCTCAATGATATCTTACGAAATCTAGACATGGTTGTGGAAGTCGACATATCTTTAACTTCATCGTCTGATATCATTTCTCCTTCGCTATGGACTTGTCTTTTGGGAAGTTTAATCTCGTCTGAAGAATTGTCATTTAAACTTTTAATTCTTCTTTCTGATGTTATAGGTGAGCGTCTATTGTGGTTATTATTCACTTGTTTATCTATAAAATTAAATATAAATTACATTCAGTATCCATAAGTAACATTTCGAGCGAATTTATAAATAAGATATACCATTTCCTTTCGTGGAAGTTCTGAATTTATTAAACTTGAAGCTTGGAGTTTTGCCAACTGAACTTTTCTTATCTACAGTTATCTAAAAAGTATATAATTTAGTATCAAAATATTGTTAAAACTTATAAAATAGATATACAGGTCTTACCATAAGTCTGGAACCATAGTTACTCTTTTTTTATTTTTTTATGGGTAAAGTGAGGAGAAACGAATTTCAGAAAACTTTTTGTGAAAGTTGGGTCCTATCTAGATGAAGAAAACACGGAGAACTTACGTGGCCAGCCGTTATTGACACACAAACTTGCGACCAAATATCTGTATCCAGTGGTTTCAGTGGGACCGTCAATCACCGTGAAGTTTCCGAATCATTTAACAAGCTGAATCAGATTGTTGTGTGTAATTAATAGAAAATCTGGGTGAAGCTTGTTAAACTCTTCGAGAACTTTGCATCTTAAATTCGTTCCTCCTCACTAAGCCACTTGTATAAACAACTTCTAGGGTTCCACACTTCTGGGACATCCTGTGTTACTTGTGTCGTTTTTTTTATTTCTAACCTCATCTTTTTCTCTTAGCTCTAACCATCCCTTAACTTTCCACTTAGCTTGCACTTGGTAAACATTTTCATTATCTTCCAGTATCCTTCTTTCTCGATGTATACCACGCTTTCTAACGGTTCCTGTTGGTGTGCTCTCTGCTAAAGGTGGATATTCCATTTCTTCCACAAGAACAAACCTGGATGGATCTTCTAACCTCCGAGCTTTGATTAATGCCTTGAAGAACACAAAGAATCAGCCTAAAATTCTATAAATTCAAGTGATTTTAAATGTTAAAGTAATCAGTTATATATATATATACTTGCGCAATTATGTCCTGTGCTGTACTAGATATAGGGGCTTTCAATATGGCGTAAGGTTGATTAGGTGAAACGTTATACACGCAAATTAAGAATGACTCTTCTTTATCGTTCCAATCGTCCACATCGGCTTCCTGTTTCATTTTCTGTTAAGTAAGCAAAACAGTGTTCTGTGTTCTACTGTTATACACGCAAAATTTACAGATTAAAACATTTATTTACCTGCTCTTTACTGCTTGCAGGTGTCCTAATGCTTGTCATCCACGCTCTAGTACTGGGATCCTTCAAAACAGAATTTCATATCAATAATAACATCACAATTAAAATTTAAATACTGTATTGTTATGTACAGTACATACATCAGTTATCTTTTTAAGGATGAAACGCCCTTCTCCTTGCCATTGAGCTTGAGCTTCTAGAGGTCTTTCATTAGGATCAAGGATTCTTTGGGTGCTCGACTTTTCTGTTAACTTCTTTTCCCATCCTCTCTGCACTTCTTCTATTAGTACATAATCGTCAACGTTTTCGTGGCTTTTATTAGCCTTTGTAAGCGCCTTAAATATATTTTAAAGTAAGGCTCAAATGCATAAAAGGTGTATTAGAATAACAGCTTTAAACATACCTGAGTAACAACTTCCTTTGTTGTGCTGTCTTGAGTGATTTTAAGTACTGTATTCGGCTCGTCAGGGATAACACCATGGACAACCAAGAAGAATAATCTTCTTTTAACTGGTACACTATTCACTCCTGATACCTAAATTACATATAAAAGTGAAAGAATAAATGTTAAGCTCAGAGCTTAGCAAACAACACTCACTTACCTCTTTCAATTCGCTTTTATATCTAATTTCATTAGAGGGTACTTCCTTCATTTTGCCTTTAGATTTCTTATCTTCGTGAATCTCATTGGTGGTAGGTGATAGTAGTCCTTCTTCTTCTGCTTTAAAATATATGAAGAGAGTAGAAAGTGGTAACGTTTGATTTTGAGGACCTCTTAATCTAACGTGTCTGTAGCCTGGTTAAAAATGGAACTGAGTAAATGAAAATATCACAGATAATGAAAATTATACAGGGTGGTACCAAACTGCTGGAGTGGATTTTACAGTAGACAGAGAATAAAAATGGCCGAGAAGGGCCTGTTGCTTGCTCATCCAATTTTAGGACTATTCACTTTTACTTGTGGGTGCACTTAAAGTATCATGTAGGCTGAAGCAACACATGGATGCAAACATTCCTGTAATGTTGGCATCCTAAAGGATATGTCAATTCATAATGCGAGGTGTGACTGTTTATATTGAAACCAATGAAGACTCTTCGATCATCCATTGTTACTTTGCCTGAGATATCCGTGTATGCAGTTCAAAACTCCCAGTGGTATCACTTATCTAGACACAGTGCATTTCCGGACATAGAGTAAGTTAATAGGACCACTTTTTTCTTTATCCTGCCAGGAATTCATTCACAAAGTCCTTCCCCATAGTTTCGAACCACCCTGTATATAAAAAGATTAAAAATTTACCTTGACGAAGACACTTTAGAGGAATTACTCTTTGAGCAGTTATGTGATTGGTTCCCATATCTGTTACAGTAAATCTCAAAAATGCCAATTCGTCGAACATAACCTAGATTTATAAATTAAACTTTAAAACAGATTTTCAATAAATAAAACCAAATTAATACACTGTAATCTTCGTACTATGCATACCCTGAAATGAAAAGTATCATTCCAAACGGGATTAAGAGAATTTCTTTGTATAAGTTTGGTCTTTTGCCTGTTACAATCGACTGGTATTCCAATTATTTCGACTTCGATCTGAGGACTACCAGCGTAACTAGTCGGACAGACATATTGACCCGATATAACCTGAAATGACACGTGATTATTGACAAAGTTCTTAATCCTTAATCGAAATTACTCGATCACTTACCGTGATTGATAAGCTGAGAGCGTGTAATCCATCAAAACTCTTATCCCAGGGATTAAATCGTCCATACCACATATGGGATTTATCCCACATCACTTTGGGTTTTAATACATAACCGCATCTTCCGTTCTGTTCGAACATTGCCGTGTTGATGTTCAATGCGGCATCTTAAATTGGATAAATTATGTGTTTTATTGATACTACACATTACAAAAGTTTAAGAGGGAGAAATAATGCAAATTTACCTTCAGTTTGATAATTCAAAGCAACCATTTGTATACCAAATGCCCAAAATATTACTGGATTGAAATTCGAAGAATCTATTCTCATACCTGCTGGATATGTTCTCATTAACTGATTTTCACAATGAGTATATTTAGTTAAGGATTTTATTCCTACTTAAGATACAGTACATAAAACACAATTAAACAAATTAAATTATAATAAACTAATGACATTCAAACATGATTAATTAAGATTATCGAAACTTTCTAGCACGTCTGATGAGTTCAAAACACGAAACTTAGCGCATAATCATCCATAGAAAGTCTTCTCTTGAGGCTTAAGTCCATGTGTTGCGTTACCTTATTCCATCAGAGTACAGATCAATATGCACCACAACTGACTTTTAATGTAATTAAAATATATAAACTAACTTTATTTTAAATCAAAACAAAGAAAGGATATGCAATAAGTGCTAAAGAATGTCTTTTGCATAATTTTTTTGCAGTATTTTCGTTCACAGATGAGACGTGATAACAGGAAGCTGAAGATGGTCTTTTAGATGGTGGAATCTCAATTTTGATATCTTTAATAAATAACAACGTTAAGTATAATTAAAAAGAATACTCTTAAATAATTTTCTAGAGTAAGATTTCTTTACCGCTTGCAAGAGGAGGTGTACTTGGTGTAGAAGCATTACTGGATGTATTCAGAACGTTCTTTTTACTCGTGATTTTCTTTACTTTAATTGAGTTCGTAGGGCTCGAATTATTTGCAAAACCTTGAAAAAAAAAACAGAAGAATTACTGACAAATTCGTTTATTAGAAGCTTCATCATGGTATTATTTAGTTCTTATCTATGATGACTCGCCTCTAAATTTAATAGCTTGGCAGTAAATGACAAGATCAGAAAGTTCTGAAGCAATTTGTCTTCCATCCTTACGAGGTTTATGCGAGGTGTCATCTTCAGCCACATTTTCGAGAGGGCTAAACTGCTTAGATCCCACCGATGCAAGTCCAGGGCTTGCTGTTTTTACGTTAACAAATCCCTCCTGACTTGATATTGATTCTGTACGAACTGTTAATGATGCCGATTTACTAACAGTTCCTGAACTTTGAAGCTCTTCTTGATCCGTAGTACCAACAACTGAGAAACTTTCGGATAGGGATGCTTGCGTAACACCGATTTCTTTAACTAAATGAGCAAAAATATTATTAATTATTTATGTTTTTAGCTTAGAATTCAGTACAGAAATTATTTTACCTTCTAATAGTTCATCTTCTTCGTCTTCATCTTCGTATTCGTCATCATCATCGTCATTGAACGAACCCGTACTTGCCGTAGAGATGATACTATTCGTTCGCCCTGGCATAGATTTTCCCTAAAGGTATGCACCCTATTAGCATATATTAATTAATTTATAAATAAATAATTAGCTTTTAAAATTCTTACCCGAGATTTTAGGGGCAAAGCTGGTGTTAGAGTCGATCTCATTTTCTTGCTCTTGATAAGAATTTTGTGCTTAAGTTCGTTAGGGGATGGAAGCTGGGGATCATCACTATAATCGGAATCGAATAAGAATCGCCTGACTAATTTTTCACCAAAGACGGTCTGTTGAGCAGAAATAAAATATATTAAAATAACTGAAATGTAAATATAGTCGAACCTCTAAACAACGGACACTGAAAAGATTATAAAAAGTGATAGCTGTTTGACTGTTATTTGGAGGTTTATATTGTATACATTCTGTACAATATTCCTGAAAATTTGTCCGTCGTTTAGAGGTGGCCATTATTGGCGGTTCCACAAGTTTTATTCCTAAGCTTTTCTTAATTCCAGTGATTAATATCTAATGATATTAAGAAGCTGCGGCTATCCAAGCTGTTTGTGGTGCTACAGAACCTCATTGATACCAAAGCAATCATTTTTGTTACTTTAAAATAAAAATAAATATAATAAAACATATAACGTAACTTCACTTAAGTAAGATTGGGTAAATACAGTTATTTTAAGGTAATTGAGTAACCTAGAATCAACCAGAACAGCACTCATATTCTCAAAATCCTGAACACGCCATTAATAAGAGGCATATATTTGAGGGGTATTGTGTTAAAATTTTCGTAAAAATTCCCCTTAATTATTAAGAAAAATTAATCTATGTATTAATTATAAACTTATTTTTAAATTGAAGATTAACTTACACTAAAAATTTCCGCCATTTTGGCTTGTTGTTGAAGTGAACAATGATTTTCAATGGACAAAATGACCGGATAGGGTGATGTAACAAATGCGCTTTTAGCGATGGCTTCTACAACATTCTGTAAAGAAATATATATTAAAATAATTCATTTTAATTTATTTAAAAATGTAATTTTACCTTGAAAGGTATCTTTGTGGTTAGGGTATGACCATGATAAATGACAGGCATCCCGTCGTCTCCATCCCAGCAATCTAACTCTACACATCGACAACCTGTTAGAAGTACCTATTACAAAGAAATTACCCAGAAAAAAACGATAAATATTTTATAAAATAAAGTTTTAACAACAACTAAACATACTATACACACGCACCTGACTATAAAGATCAACAGAAGATTCACCCTTTAGTTGATGCCCTGTTAAATATGTATTATGTGAAGATGCAATGTAGTAATGTGAAAGAGGATGGTTCATGTCCTGTAAATAAATGAGAGATGTTAAACGTTGAAAATTTTGTCACTTATATTCAGGGCTGCCTAGAAGATAGCGGGGACATAGAGCAAAATACATAATGGGGCACTTATATCAAATCATTATGCGAAAGTAAACGAAAAAAAACTTTGTATAAGGACCCCTACTTTGGGGTACAGTACAGGGAAATTACTTTCTCTTCTGGGCATCCCTGCTTATGTTAATTTTATGCTCATTTTCAGCTTACTTCTTCATTCGATTTTGTGCTCTCGGAAAGAAATGCAAAATTATCTTTATCCATGAGATAACGAGCGAATCCTTCAAATGATAAACATTGCTGCTGCCTTAGAGTAGGATCTGGCTCGTGCCTCTAAATAAACCTCAAACGAATTAATAATGCATGTAATCAATCGAATATTAATCAATAAAACATTAATACAGTCTTCTACCTGTATCAAAGATATTAATTGCTTTTCTGACACACGCTCTCCTTGATTGGTATAAAGGAACGATTGAAATTCCTGCACACCAAGTACAAGTGTTTTCGAAGTGTCAACACCTGCACAATTAGATACGATACTCGCAGCAGCTATGGCATCGCATATCTTCTTTTTCTGATTATTTTCGTAGAAGTCAAAGGGTGTATTACGTGTCAACAAACCTAAAAATATATTTAAGTCGTATTTAATAACATTTTAACTAGAAGAATTCTCATTTATTTTTATAAATATTCACCTAACATCTTGCTATCTGAAGTTGTCACCGATCTACTATTTGCTGCATCGAGGTGCAATTCTTGATTGTGTTTAGATGTGATTGAAATTTGTTCGAATAAGTTTCTAAGATCTCTTCTACTTCTAACAAGAAAAGAACGAAACAATTCTGTAAATTCCAAAAAATCCATCTGGCTTGAATGAGTGATGGCTGGACGACATATCGTTGGAGTTTGTGCTGGCTCCCAATTATTAGTCGTTGGAGACTCTAAGTTTAGTTTTTGTCTGCATTTTTCTCTAGATAAAGAATGATAAAGATAAGGAATAGATTAAAAAAACAATACAGTACTTCATTCTTCTGAAATAAATCTTATTCTTACTTGTAAGATGCAATCGAGTATTGTCCCAGTGGACTCGTGACTGTTCCTAAATTTTCGGCTGAAACAGTTTGTAGTGAAATTACGTCATGAGGGCTACTACAATCAGAACTTTGTTCACTTTGACTTAAAGGACTACTCTTGATAGTACTTCTGTGCTGGCGAACGGAAGGTCGCGGTTTTCGAAGAAGGACTTCACTAGGATTGTCACAGATGGAACCAGAAGGAGATTTAGGGGTGTTATCCTAAAATCATAATGGTTATAAATCATAGTTTAGCTTTTAAAAAAATTATAAAAATTGCCCTTTAAAGTATGAAATCAGCAAAAATTTGCCATTTTTTATTCTTCTCCCCGTCATCAGCAGTCATCAAAAATTAAAGTTACCTCATCAGGCCAAAAATTTCAGGTTGATTTATTGGTATTTTTAGTACAAGACCCATACAGGCTGTGCCGCGTCATTCCAGAAGTTTAAACCATTCACGATTATCCAGGAATTACTTTCAGACAATTCTGTGATGGCTGAGGAGAAAAATAAACAATGGGTGCAATCTTATATCACCAGACTCTCATCGTCAGATGTAAACGAATCCCCCCATAAACTGCTGACATAATACTCGAATGGTCTTAAATTATAGGTTTTGAACTCACTTTAATCGCTCCTAAGGACGATGATGACTTTTTCTTTCTCAATTTCGAAGCACCCATTCCGAAACTTGAGGCGCGCTTAAATCCAGACGTGTCCATAGAAGAGCAGCTACTCCCAAATGAACCTAAAGTCCACTTTCTTCCTCCAAATACCTAAAACAGCGAATATTTTGTATTTAAGCTTTGTAAAAAGTACAATTTAAAAGACTTACCTTAATGGCCTCTGCTGGAGTTGGACCGAAACAAGCTTGATCCTCGAAATAGAGCTGCAAGTAACGTTCTTTGAGCCAATTAATGCGTTGATCACTCAGTTGATACTGTTGCCTCAGCAATCCTACAACCTGTGATAAACCTTCGCACAAATTTCGGGCTTCTAGACAGGGTGCTACGAAAGTTAAACTTCTATTATCAGATAAATTAACACCAAAGATTAATTTTATACACTGGGACGACTTCTCTTCTAAGCCGTGACGTTTTGACATTATAGACATATCGACCGTATCGTCGCACGTTGTTACTTCCTTAACGCACCACAGATCTAAATATCCTTCCTCCAGATTATTCTGTACTACTTCTCCCGTTTCGTACTTCAATAGTAATCCGGGTGAAACAGGTTCTTCGATGTTACCACTCAAAACATAATCCTGGCATCCGGATCCACGTAGAGAACTCCAATTAGGTTTGCACCAAGTTAATGTAGCATTGTTCCTTTCTAGTTTAAGGTAGCAAAGAGCAGATCTTTGCCCATCGTTATCCCAATGTATAACTGTAAGCCCATGATGCATTATCTGCAAGAGATGATAATCCAAATATTTTTGATTTAATGGCACGAAACTTATGCAGTGATCATTGCTGATAGGTTGTATCGGCCTGTAACTGTCAATATCAATTTCGTACAGGTTTTCGTTTTCTTTACCATCCTCTTCAATGTTTCTGTATTAAAAAAATAATAGAATTATGTTTTATATATGAAGTATAAGGCTTATAAAATCTGTAAATTTAAAACTGGCCAACTGTAACACTTGTGACTTTGTTGTTTGTATACGGCGATCTGCCGTGAGAACTTTCTATGGTAAACTAGCCCTTATTTATGTTTCAAAAGTGAAGAAACCCGAAAACTCCACGTGGCCAACCAGTTGGACAAATGCGAACCACCAGTAGTAACACTTGAAGCATCTTTGATTCACTTATTTTTGGGTTATTTCTCTAGTATAATTGAATATGATTATAAGTGTATCAAAGTTACTTCGAGTTGCAATTATACTCAACTTTTTTCCAGTAATATAGAGAAATCAGGCCATAAATCGGTTGACTAATGGAAATAAGGCAATACAACACAAGAGAGATGTCTTCAAAGAGAGGACTTTCTTTGGAAACCGGAACCTCTATTTATACAACATTAGGAGTCCTCCCGGGAGGACATCTACAGAAAACTGAAACTCCTATTTAGGTATTAGACACGTGAAGAAGACTCAGAAAATTCTAGCTAGTTGGTGGTTCTCGAACCCCTGACAAACCAATGAGTATTTCCACTAGACCAATGGATGGGTTTCACGAGTTGGACAGTTTATGATATAGCTCTTGAAGTAAATGAACAATGGCGATAAATATATTAAAATCCTCACCTTATTTGATTCACATTGATAATTTCAGTCAATGCTTGTTCTCTTTTGAGAGCATGAAGATGAAAAGCTTGAATATTTTCCAAAACTCGATGAGCCTTTTCAATTTTCTCGACATTAATAATTCCACCGACTCCGATCCTAGTAAGAAAATGATCCTCGCCGTGATAATCGGAGATAAACTAATTTAAGAAAATCTTATTAAAGCTATCGAGTTACAATTTTCAATTTTATAATTTTCTACCACTTACCTCTAATTTCTGTCCGTTGTTAGCTGGTAGAACAACTAAACTCGGCATCCCTTGCAACACGTTTTTTAAGTCTTTCAGGAAGGTTCCAAAGAATGGAATCACCTTACTATGGGGCATCTCAAAGGCTCTGTTGATCGCTTCTTCACATTCCTGAGTCATGTCTGGCGTGAGTAATGCTTTAGTTAAGAAGTCTAACGTTGTTACCTGTTCTTTATCGGTCAACGATAACCAAAATGGCTTCAGTTTCTCAGATCTATCAGTGAAAAGTATTTATTAACTCACTTTTATAGTAAATTAAAGAAAATTCTATGAAAATTACCTTAATCCAGCTAGAATTTCCATAGCGGTGTTGAAATTTCCAAGATTCCAACACGTTGTAGCAACGCGCGATATACACGAAAGTACTGCTTTTCTATCTTCGTGGGTCGGTTGTGATATAATTATATGAGTTATCCATGAACTGACCTATAGGAGGTGAAAAATTATATTCAAAAAACACAAGCAGAATTAAAATAATAGATGTTACCCCATAAATCTATTCATATGTTTATCATTGTTTATTCCTTAAAAGATACCACAAACATGGAGCTGAGTAAAGAAAAAAAGATTCAAGTTATTTTGATGGTGGTGACACGCAGTCACGTGAAAAGTTCTGTAGAGTTAAACAGGACCCCTTATGTGATTGGTGGAAAATCTGGATGTATCAAGTTATTTTGAGTGCCCACCATTGGCCGAGTGGATAGAAACCATGGGTTCGTGCCCAACCAATGGGTTCGCACGGAGTTTTCCGGGTTTTCTCCACGTGTCTAACACCTAGATAAGGCCAGTTCCCCATACAAATTCTTCAGGAAGGCACATCTTTGCCGTGTTGCGTTACTTTATTCCATCAAAATAACTTGAATTCATTTCTTCTTATTCTAAAAAAAATAATGTTCAACGCAACATCTAAGAATCCAGATTAATGTATTAAAATAGGTAAAGATTTAAGGATTTATTTACATAATTACGTATATTTAAATAATAATTTTAATAAAATACCTCATTAAATCTTTTAATTAAGGTCTGGACCGTGTAGACGTTTTCTTCGTTGAAGGAAGAGCAAGTTGGATGAAGATTAACATCAACAGTAACTTGTCGAATGTAGTGAATAGCTGGAACTTTATAGAAGAGATCGTATTCAGTTTCTGACAGCATTAATGCAACCTCTTCAGGAAAATGTAATAAAGATTGCAACTTCTCAAGTTCCTCTCCAAAGATTGTGGTGGTTGGACGAAACATCACGCTCTTCTTCATTTCTAGAAATATTTTCAAAGTAAATAATTCGATCGAAGGTTTACAGTGCTTAAAATTTAAACATATAATCCTACTACACGAGATAATTCTCTTCAACCTGTTTCTTATGGTCACATCCAAATAAATCGTTACACTAATGGAAGAATAGTGTAAACATCTTCTCGAAATTATCTCGGAACAAGCATCGAAAAAATAATAAAACTGTAAAAAAAGGACATAAAAAACTTTCTCTCTGTAGATAAGAAAGTTTTAATTCTATTTTTGTACAGTTGGACTACATAAAAATTAGAAAAAAAGGGAGTTAAATTTACTTTCAAAGGCTTGGTTTGGTGATGTGACACATTATACCTATGGGCAGTGAGGAGGATTTTTGAAAAAAAAAAGGTTAGAAAACTTGAGAAAATTATAAAGTAACTTCTTCTTGAACTACTTTCAAATACAGAAGAATCGAAAATTGGATACTTCACTCTCTTATATGGTAGATATGATAAGAGGTGATGAAATTTACCGGAGGGTGATGTATCTACAAAGACACACCCGTCCTCAAGGGATTTTTAGATAATATCTGTTGGAATTAGTAAAGAGAAGTTTCGAAATTTATTCGTAATTTTTGTATCAAACAAAATTTGACGTTATAAAAACTAGATTATCATTACAAAGAAGGTGTTATCGACGTTTCAATCACGCTTTCCTTTCTTAATTTAAACGTATTTTAACTCGAAAAATGTTATCGAATCTTCGTCAAAATGGCCTATTTACCTTTATCCATATCTTCTTCACTACAGATAACGTGCTCGCGAAGGAATTGTGTGTCTAAATCTTGCATAATTTCCCATAAGACTGTACTAATCGACCTTAGTGTACCCTTCAACTCTTCTTTCTTACCTCCCTTTAGCGCATTTTAAAACTTAAAAATGTCATTAAATTTTATCAAAATATACCTCTTCATCTTCTTTATCCAGATCTTTATGTGCCCCTGAAGGAATTATGTGTCTAAATCTTGCATAATTTCCCTTATGGTACCCTTGTACTAATTGACTTTAGTGTATACTTAGCCTTTCTTTCTTACCCCCTTTAACGCATTTAATCTTCATCGAAATGGACTATTTACCTTTATCCAGATCTTCCTTGGTGCAGATAATGTGCTCGTTAAGAAAATGCGTATCCAAATCTTGCATAATTTCCCACAAGACTGTACTGATCGACCTGAGTGTACCCTGCGAAGGAGTGATAAAAGACCATTTGGTGGCTCGAAACTCCAGAACAAGTTGATCGTGGGATCGCCCTCCACCCGTTCTCCATTGCTGCAATTCTCCAGTTAATTGAGTTTTAGCAGGTAGCAACGTTTTGCTGTCCAGGAGGACGATGTGCTCCATACCAATCCCCAAAATCCTGTTTGCCTGTTGAGATAATTAAAATATTTTCACTTTTATTTATGTTTCTCCCTCATCGAAACTGATAGAGGAGAGGAGTAAATATTTTTACCTTCTTCTTAGTCTTTCCTCGAAGGAGTTCTTTAACTTGAAAGATCCTACATCCATAAGCAGGAAGTCGTTTACAAGTTTGTGTGTATAACTTCTTTAAGTGGATTTCACTCTCGTAAACGGAAGTGTGGAAGAGTTTACGTTTGTGTTCCTAATTTTGAGTGCAGAAAATTCATTTTTTAAAACTCGAAATTAGGTTAATAATTCAATTTAATAGCTTAGTAACCCGTTATTAAATACAAATATTCATCTCTATGACTTTTAATAGTAATTGTTTGTTAGTAAACTTGATTATTTCACGATGATAACACAATTAATTCGAATATAATTAAATATACACGTTTAATTGAGTAAATTAGCAACTTAGTTTGTCCCCAGACACGGTTGTTTGCGGACGTATTAAATTAATGTATTTTTTTGTAAATAATTTCTAAATATCTATGTTAATAAAGCTTCAATGAAGTTCTAACGAAAGTCCAATGAAGCGCTAAGCTTAAATGAAACTCTATTAAGCTCAAATGTAGCTCTAACTTAGCTCTAATAAAGCTCTAACGTAGCTCAAATACAGCTCTAACTTAGCTCTAATAAAGCTCTAACTTGGCTCAAATAAAGCTCTAACTTAGCTCTAATAAAGCTCTAACGTAGCTCAAATACAGCTCTAACTTAGCTCAAATGAAGCTCTAACTTAGCTCTAATAAAGATCTAACGTAGCTCAAATACAGCTCTTAGCTCAAATGAAGCTCTAACTTGGCTCAATTAAAGCTCTAACGTAGCTCAAATACAGCTCTAATTTGGCTCAAATGAAGCTCTAACTTGGCTCAAATGAAGTTCTACTAAGCTCAAATGTTGTAATAAGATAAAAATTTTTCTGTAGAGTGCAATTCTTCTATTTACAAATAAATTAGAAGAAAAAAAATTAAGAATTGTAAACTTAGAATCGTTTAAAAACACTAAAATAAAATAAATTTACATAAAAATACAGTCGAATTGCTAATTACTGTGTCCTCTCAACAACGACCACTCTAAACGGCAGCCATTTTTATCACGAACTTTCTCCGCTAACAATATAACCTCTAAACAACGGCCTCCTGCCAATAGCGCTCATTTTTACCTAATTTTTTCAAGAAAAATGCATACATAAAAACCTCTAAATGACGGCCACCTTTTAACATTCCGTCAGCGGCCGTTGTTGACAGGTTTGTGCGGTGTTTTAATGTATAATTCCGACTTCCGACTTTAGGCAATTTTAACGATTTTAAAACGAAATTTAAGCAATTTTATGATTAATTTAGCTTCTCGAAAGCCTTATTTTCTCCTTCAGTTCTTTTTTTTATAGTAAAATAACAAAAATATTCCATACCTTGATCGTCTTTAACATATTTTTGTTCCTTCTGTAGTTAGGGGGTAAGCAATCGTTGACATTTATAGTAGTGCTGCCAATGACTGTACTGTTGCCATTCGCACTTATCCAGTGTCTTAACACTATATTTGTCTTTGAAAACTTGACATGACCCGTGTTAGAGCTTTCGTGACTTTCATTTAATTCACTATTTTCATCCGTATCAGTCCTACTCCTTGGAGAAGTCAACACTGTCAAGTCAGGAACTGTAGACTCCTAAAACGGGTATAAAGCGGGTATAAAATACAATATTAACATGTAAATTTCATAAAAATTTACCTTTATATCTTCAGTAATTGGTCTTAATTTATATTTCTGCTGTGTTTCCATTACTGTTCTCCTCTCCGAAGGCCAAGTTTCTTCTACACGTAGTTGTATACAAGCTAAAATGGCCGCTTCCTCCTTAGAGCATGGAAGTTCACCGTTTATAACTAATTGTTGAAGCTGTAAAATAAAGAGTTTCTTAGCGAAGTTTACTTGAAAACATCTCAATAAAATAAAATTTCACCCGATTTTAAAGAAAAAAAACTTATTATTCATCGTTATTTGCGATTTTTGGGGCTTGTCTTCACACGGTAAGTAAGCAGAATTTACAGCTTACTTATATAAGTGACACCAATATAATAAAAATGCACGACGTCATCTCCCAGTAGGTAATACGAGGGCCCTTTTGCTATACCCCACGGCCAGGCCCACATATCAGGAAAACATATCGGGCTCCCCAGAAAGACAGGCTAACACCCTTTAACAGCCTGGCCGTCTAAAAGGGGTGCTATCATAAATTATATGCTCGATATTGCTTGATTTCGTTATTAAACAATACACTTTTAAGCTCCTTTAATATTGCAGTGTTACATCATTATCAATCGATACACGCATCATTATCAATTAATCACCTTAACACTTCATTGTTTCTGCGCTAATTTCTTATCTTTTATCCATCATTATCAATTTATCTTCACTCCACACTGAATATACAATCATTAATCTAAACACAAGTTACATTCATTTATAAGAATTTTAAGTGTAGCAAACACAAAGGGCGATAGTTTAAGATGTAAAACGTATTGTTTTTTTTTATGTGAAAATAATATTATTATCCTAAATAACCGCGTGGTTTTAACAAAAATTCAATTACTGGCCATGTGTGGGGGATGGTCGTGGGTTCGCACCCCACTAATATGCTGGCCACGTGGAGTTTTCTTCTCGTGTCTATGATAACACGTGGAGTTTTCTTTTACCTTAATCGATACTTATAACTATTTATGTATTGTATAATATCACACGAGCATTTAATTCCACCAAATTTAAGCTTATGTATTTTTAATATTAAAATAATTGCAACTGTTAACTGACTTTTAGACCACCCCTCTTAGACTAGACAACTCTTACGTTGACACAAGTAAATCTCTAGAAACTCTCTTAAAATTTCTTCTTATGTAACACGAAATAAAATTGTTGATGTAATAAAATTTAAATGTTTTCGTTTATATTTAAATTTCTAACTTAAAATTTACGATATAAATTTGATAATTGCGTGCAAATATATGATTTAAACATATTTTCTTTCTTTATTTTTCCCTTAGAATAATTTATATTTAAAGTAAATCTTTCTTTAATGATTATTTATGCTATTTAAACTATGCTGTAGTAGTGGTTTTCAAAGTGTACCATTACTTGGTATAAACTAGTATCTGTGTGTATACCACTAGTACCAGTTACCTGTTTCTCTGGAGTAAACTAACGAATATTTTCTTAAGAAAGAACAAATATATACATTCTTCCCGGTATAAAAGCTTTGTTTTATTATTTTATTTGAATTAAAGTAATGTAAACAACGTTCGTATGAATGTATTTTATGGTGATTGTTTTAGGGGAGAAAAAAAAAAAGAAAGACAAGGGTCACTTCGCTGTACGCTTTAAGCGAGTTTACATAATTGTGTAAACGTAGAGATGCGATGAATAATTTGTAAATTAATCAAATAATAAAGTTTCTAATCCCTCGAAACAATTACTTTTAAACGTTTCGTGCAATAAATTATTCTCTACTTTACTGTACAAATATTAAACTTACGACATTTAATGTTATTTAATGTAAAATTTTAAAAGAAAAGTGATCATTTTTCTTTAATAAAATGTACCCTTTCACGCAACTATCAAAGCTTTTAAGTTAAACGTTTCACTTTATCCGAAATCGATTCGTAATAAATCACTTTTTTTTTTGGCATTATCATTAATCAGTATCGCTTTAAGTAACAATATAAAAAGAATCTCTCACCCTTTCACTCAAATATCACGTGTACAAATACAAAAATAATGCTTGAAACTGTCCGAAAACAATTATTAAAAACGACGTCACTCGTGGAGTAACAATAGAACACATCAATTAAGTGTTATAAAATCGATCAATTTCGCTGTAAGTAACAATATAAAAAGAATCTCTCACCCTTTCACTCAAATATCACGTGTACAAATACAAAAATAATGCTTGAAACTGTCCGAAAACAATTATTAAAAACGACGTCACTCGTGGAGTAACAATAGAACACATCAATTAAGTGTTATAAAATCGATCAATTTCGCTGTAATTAACAATATAAAACGTGTGTGGGGGGAAAGCCACGTGTTTAAGAAAGATAAACAACGTTTACTTCTTACGTATTATTGTCCCATTTTTATATATAAGAGTATTATAACGATTTGGTGACGTTGGCATCTTTTTTTTTTTTAAATAAAAAGAAAAGTGTGTCCGTTTAATAACCGTTAGATATTATAGGTGTTATCTATCCGCGCGGTATAATAACGAAGATAGGTTGATTCTTCTCCACCCAGGATCGTTTCCTTAATGATGTCGTTATGACCCAGTTGAAGTAATGAGCTCCCAAACATTACACGTTACTATCCCTTTTGAAAGGACAAACATTTCCTGTCTTAACTCGCGTTTTATTTTCAACAAATCTATCAATCCTCCCAGCTTCAATCAATCTATAAAATTTTTATCTTTTCTCTCTTCTTTCCAATAAATTATCCCCCTGTGGAACCAATCTCTTTCGAATTTTTCTATTTTATAACTCATAATATCAACCGAAAAAACAATTACGACCGGATGTAGAAGCTGTCCTTAAAGATAATAATAATAATAATAATAATAATAATAGTTTTTCGAGTAAACACCTTAAAAATTGAAATTATTTTTAGTAATTCTCTACATCTAAAAGTGTTATAAATCTGTTTAATATAAAATTTTAATATATATTTTTTTAAAAATAAAATTTAAAAATAACCTGTTTAAGACGGAACCTGTATAAAACGGAAACCTGTCTAAACGGAAATAATTCTTTAAAGTGAAACGAATTTTCTGTTTAAAAGAAAAGAAACCTGTTCAAAACGGAACCTCCATACCGGAAAATAATATTCGTTAACGTACGATTCCGGCTTACACAGGTTTTACTGTATATCTACGTTTTAATGAAGGTAATTTATTGTTTTATTTTTATTTATTTGTTATATAAAAATTTACTGAATTTAAAACATGATTTATGAAGTAATAATCACGTTTAAACAATCTAATTGCGTTTAATTATCATTTAATATTGAAAATTTAATTGAGTTCTTCTTAAACTGTATTCAGGAGCACTTGTTACGTCTGGCCAATGGGAAAATGCATTATTTGTAACCCCTTAAATAATGCCTTTTTCGATTGACCGGACGTAACGTTACGTACAAAGAACCTGTCTTACGAAGTCTTCGATTGTAAGTTCGAGAAAAAACTGTTAGTGGGTAAATTACATGAAAACTTTATTATACTGTAATGAAATTTTAATGTATATCTTGAGGGAAATGCCCTGTGTGCAGGGGAATTACTTTTATGTAAATGAAGTGATGCTGAGGATGAGAAAATCGAGCAGTTTCAACAAGAAAGAAAGTATTCTTTAATACATTAATATTTCATTTAAAAAAACACCCTCACAAGTAATACAAAATGCACAATAACAAGTTCCATTCTTGAAAGATTAAAGGAGTTATATAATATAAGGATTTTAAACTTTTAAACCTTACTATTATTGTTCGCTTTGTTTAAATATAAACTGCTTAACGTTGTCAATGTTTTCTACCACAGAACAAGAGAAACTTGGAGATGAACATAAAGAAGGTTTATGTGAAAGAGCAAAGGAATTTTGCAGGAAATTACAAAGGAAAGCATGAAATATGCGAAGAAAAATGCAGAAATTTCGTTTAAAATCATAAAAAGTGTAGAAATTTTGCAGGAAATTACAAAGGAAAGCGCGGAGAAAATACAAAAGTTTTATACAAATTACAAAGAAAATAAAGAAATTACGTAGGAAATAACAAAGAAAATGAAGAAATATGCTAAAAAAAAATACAAAAATTCTATATAAAACAAAGAAGAAATGAAGTAATTTTCCATGAAAGAACAAAGGAAAGTGAGAAATATACGAAGAAAATGCAGAAACTTTATAGAAAACAACGACCAAAAAAAAAAAAAAAAAGGAAANTCTATAAAATACAAATAAAAATAAACATATTTCTTGGTATCTTGTTACGAAAATGGATTGTCAATTTGGTAAACAAACAATGTATATAATATATATAGACCTATATATATATATATATATATATATTTCCGGTTAACTGACTTTTGGGCCAAATATACTGCTGTATACTGCTATATATATATATAGGCCTATATTTCTTCCACATTGTCTTCAATTTCCTTTGTTCTTTCCTGTAAAACGTCTTCATTTTCTTTATATACATAGATACATAGATACAGCAGTATATATGGCCCAAAAGTCAGTTAACCGGAAATTTATATAAACGAACAAAGGAAAAAATAAATTTGCAAGCAAAGTAAAAGCAGAAATCGTGCATAAAAGAACATAAAATAAAATAAAATAAAAAAAATTAAAAATGAATTGACTTAAAATTGAATTCGGGTTTATTGCACCGACGAATATGAAACTAAACCGTTCACCTGAATTATTTGTGTCAAGGTGCATTGTTGCATCGAACAATGAAAACACGTCGACGTTTTTGATGCCCGTGTCGTAACTCGACACTCGTTCGTTTCGTGTTACGTATCAAGAATTTAAACAAAATAAACGATAAATGTTTACGTAAATATTAATTATCTTTAAATATCCATTAACCTGTTAACCAATTAAATGATATTTTATAATTTAATTCAGATATTCTCTTCGGTAAATTCCACTTCTCTACACGAAAAAAGTAAACCTGGCCCAAAAGTCGATTAACCGAGTCGGCAAAAACTTTGCTACGCCTCGGTTAACCGACTTTTGGGCCGGCGTAGATATATTTTACTTTATTAAAACCTGTCTAAACTGGACCAGTTACCTGCCTAAACAGAAATTTACTTCGTTTACGGTAATACAGAGTCCGGTTTAGATAGGTTTTACTAGTAAATATGAGGTAGAAAGATCGATCTCCTATCTTCTATTGTGGATCAAAGTAAATAATTTTCCGTGTATTTATACTGTATTTTACAGGTTTCTCTTGTAAATTTTACAGGTTATAACGGTAAAAATACGGCTGCTTAATACAGTTTTTATTTCCTTCTATTTTCTTTTATTATTTCCTAAAGAAAACCTCTCAAAACGGTTGGTGACAAGCGAGGTGTTATTAACTTGGCATGTCACTACCTATTATTTAGTTTAGGAAATAGGTCGATACTTTATCAGACCAAACACCGGTCAAGGAAAAGTTTTCGCACTACTTCTTAAGAAAAACAAGCTTTTATTTTTTTCTTGTTTTCTACAGAATTTTCTGTCTTTAACACAATCTTAAAGCGAAAATTCTCTTTAAAATATTATAAAATCTTAACTGATTTAAGACCTTACTTTACTGATCACGTATTTAATTTTAGTACAATCACAAGTGACCAAAATCACTGGTCGTGGGTTCGAATCTCATTTACGTGCTTTCTTTTTTCAGGTCTTTTTCACCTGTAACGTCTAAACAGGGATCAGTTTTTCATATTTTATTCACCTGTCACGTAAATCGGGAATAACTTTCACATCTTCCGTGTATTCTTCACTATCTAACATATAAATAGGGAAAAGTTTACTACATTTTTCTGGTGTCTAACACCTAAATAGGGGGTCATCCTCCCATAGATAGTTCTCCCGGAATGCCACTCTCCTTGTCAGATAACCCTTGTGTTGCGTTGCCGTATTTCATCAAGCTATTACAATCAATTATTTACACTATTGTCCTCGTTGTGGCAAACAAATTACCGTCGTCTTCAACCCGGAATTCCAGATATCGACGTTAATTACTGGCGTTCTGTTTACCCGCTCCTACAATAAATTATTATCGATCTTTTTTCCTTCATTAACCGTGCAACCTGTTAAGCTATTTTTCTCCCTCCCTCGGACTCGTCAACCCTGACGAAACACCCGTTTACACACAAGAAAATACGAGTAAAATTCGCTCTTACCTTATCTTTAACATGACTTTTATACGTTATAACTCCGAGTTAAAGTCTCGTGCGTATGTGACACGTGCTCTCGACGACACTAACAACTCCACCCCGTCACAGACGAGGTAGAGATTTGTCTACTTCGATTGGATAACGCACCTTTTACGTAGATAGGACGTATGATTAATGGCGATAACTTACTGATCCTGTACATAACGTATCGTGCTTGTCAACCTGTACAGCTAAGATACACACGTTACGGATAATAATAGAGTCTTAAATTCCCAATTGGGGATTATTAATTAAGGATTAAAGACTATCTCCTTAATCCTTAATCTTTATCCATAAGGAGAACACAAACAAATACAACGAAAAAGGGTCTACACTTGCAGATCGTACTCGCTGCTTAATTAAGTACAAAGCGAAAATCGATTTAATTGTAATTTAAAAATACAAATGTATTTGATTATTGACACAGGGTATATTAAATTCGGCAATAAATAGACAATAAAGAGTGCAGGATTATTTTAAGAGAAAGAACACAGGGATAAGTTTTCTCTTCTGTGTTTAGAAAATTCTGTTTTTATAGAAAGAAGAAGAGTAATTTTTTTCCCTTTCTTGTATTGGCAGATAGGGATCTTTTCTCTTTTTGATAAAAAGAAGAGGGACTTTTTCTCTTTTTTCCCTATGAAAATAGGAAGAAAGAAGATTTTTCCTCTTTTTGTATCAGATAGGGATCTTTTCTCTTCTTGATAAAAAGAAGAGGGACTTTTTCTCTTTTTCCCTATGGAAATAGGAAGAAGAGGGATTTTTTCCTCTTCTTGTATCAGATAGGGATCTTTTCTCCTCTTCTATCAGATAGGTATCTTTTCTCTTCTTGATAAAAGGAAGAGGGACTTTTTCTCTTTTCTTTCCTATGGAAATAGGAAGAAAAGGGATTTTTTCCTCTTCTTGTATCAGATAGGGATCTTTTCTCTTCTTGTGTCAGATAGGGATCTTTTCTCTTCTTGATAGAATAGAAGCGAGACTTTATCTTCTTTTTTCCCCCATAAAAATAGGAAGAAGAGGTATGTTTTCTTGTAGAAAGAACAAAAAATTTTTCATTTTTTCCTATAAAAATAAGAAGGAGGCTCTTTTCACTTCTTCTCTATTTACAAATTTCTCTTCCATAAAAAAAGTAAAAATAATACAAGAGAAAGATTTCTCTTCTTCCTAATAAAAAAAAACCTTTTTCTTCTTAATAGAAATATAAGTTTTCATTGTAATCTTCGTCTTATTCCTGTAAAGTAGAATGTTTGATAGATTATTCTCCATTATTATGCTTATTTTTTGAAAATATTAAACAATAAAATATCCAACATATTCTCATCTTCTCCCTGCACTATCCAACTGTTATCATCCATCATCTACCATCCTTAATGGTTACATTCAATATAAAGGGCTCCAAATTCCTCCCGAGTGTGCAATACTTTCCGAATTTATTCTTTCTGAAGAATCATCGTTCTATAACACCGAGAATTCTCTATATCGAGTAGAAAACAAGACAAAGTTTACTATTTTACTCTTCTCCAATAGATATAACAACGGCTCAAACATAATTTCTCTATTAAATCTTCTTGATAGATGACGTTCGAGTGTGACATCAAATCGAGTGTGGCACAATATCGAGGTGGCTTAAACAATAGTAATTGTATACAGTAATGAAATCGATTCAAAATTGAATTAAATGGGCGAATTTATAAAACTTTTAATATTTTATTTAATAAAAGAAAAGACGAATCAACAAATTTAAACCACACGTGAAATTCTTTTTTTTTTTTTTTTTTTTTTATCTTTCACTTTCTTCTAATGACCATTTGGCGTGATGGACAGACACATCACGAAAATCGACAAGTTCGAAGCCATTACGTAATGTTACTATATAAGAAATAAAAAAATCAGTCACGTTACGTTACGTCACGAGACGAGACGATATTTTCTCGTAGTAAAAACCCCCCTCGTATACATCGCGTGTTTTCCATATTACACCACGAAAATCAATCCTCCTCCTCCCACCGTTTTCCATTATTTTATTTCTCGAAACGGAAGCGAGTTCGATCTGATAAACGAGATTATTAGATAAAAGGAAAATAAATTAATTTAAATTAATTTTTAAGAAATTCATCGTCGTCATTTCGTCATTAATTCAAAAACAGTACAATCATTATCGTCATCTATGAGAAAAATAGGAAGAACTAGTGAGATTGTACTGTTTGAATTAATGACGAAATGATGATGATCATGACGGAAACAGTGAGAATTGATGAGGACAATAGTGAGAATTAGTGAAAAAAACAATGAGGGAAACAGCGAAAATTGGTGAGGAAAATAGTGAGAATTAGTGAAGTGTTTTCTTCACTAAATCTATGAGTTTTATGAGAAAATTAGAAAAATTGGTGAGGAAAACAGTGAGAATTAGTAAGGAAAACAGTGAGAATTGATGCGAAAAATAGTGAGAATTAGTGAAAAAAGTGAGGGAAACAGCAAAACTTGGTGAGGAAAACAGTGAGAATTAGTGAAGAAAACAATGAGGGAAACAGCAAAACTTGGTGAGGAAAACAATGAGAATTAGTGAAAAAAACAATGAGGAAAACATCAAAAATTGATGAGAAAACCCGAAAATTGGCGAGGAAAGCTGAAAATTGGTGACAAAAACAATGAGAACTGGTGAGGAAAACAGTGAAAATTAGGAAGAAAAATAGCATCAGTTAATGAGGAAAATAATGTAATAATAATGATGGTGATCATCGTTATCTTGATCATTTAATTATCGTTTCTACTGAATTACACTTACCCTTTCGTATTCTTCATCTATAAATTGCATATCATCCTCTCGTTTATCTTCTACATTTTGATTATTCTGTTAAATAGATTTTTTAAAAATATAAATGTAAATTTTTATAAAACAAAATGTTATTTTTAAAATCAATTAGGTTAATTATAAATTTAATTCGGTTATTTTCAAAAGAGTGACATTTACAGAATGTATTACAGATCGTTGAAATATACAATTAAACTTCTGAACGACGGCCACTGGCGGGTACATAAAAAATGGCCGCTGTTTGGAGGTTTTCTTGTATGCATTACAAAAAAAAAGAAGAAAAGTTCCGCTGTTTAGAGGTGGCCGTTATTGGAGGTTTGACTGTATATTATTTCAAGCGTATCCTTTAATTAAATGAATTTAAATTCACATATTTAATTACAGTTTTAAAATACAGTAAAACCTGTGTAAGCCGGAATCGCCCGGTTTGGCAGTTTTCCGTTTTAAACAGGAAAATTGTTCCGTTCCGAAGATTTTTTCTGTTTACGCAGGTACCGTTTTAGACAGGTTTTAGTGTAATCACTCCTTTGAGACACACCCTCTCTTAAAATCACACTAATATAATTAAAAATACAATAAATATAACTTTGTTACTTCTTAAGTTCACAGTTTAAACACACACATAGTGTATGTACTCCGATATAGCGAATGATTTACAATTCGTTATATCGAGGGCCTCACTGTATACGTATACAATTTACAAATTTCCATAAAAAAAAACACTAATAATTAATATTTTTATCCGTTTTTTTCAATGGCAAGTCACACCAAAACAACAATAGTAATAAAAATAGAAGGTCTTACAACACGAAAAACATAAGTGACAATGCTTACGTCGATACCGGTGTTGAGTCTCATATCATCAGCCCACCATTGGTATTGTTCTCCCATACAGGCCACACGCGCAACGAATTCCTTCAGTTCCCTATACGTGCTTTCGTTGTGCGCTAAATCGAGGTGGCAGTGACAGAACCACTCCTTGACAAGTGTCAGCACTGCCTTATGACTTAGTGGCATCTCTCCCGGTAAAGGTAAAGGACTCTCTGAAGAGCAAGGAATGTTACCTGAGTGAAGAGGATGAAGAAGAGAATTAATTCGAGAGTAAATTTTTGTATTCGAATACTTTAAAAAGGATTCACGTACCAGGAGATAACGAAGAGGGACTGCGCGAGGAACAAGTCGGATATCCTCCTTCTGTGGTTGCACTTCGGATAAGTAAGCCGTGTGGGTGCACTCCTGGAAGCTGGAGAGAGCTGGCATCGAATATCACGCGTGGGACAGAGCATGAACGAGGTCTCGCAAACATTGGTTCACCTCCAAGTTCCATGAGTTCTCTCAAGTAGTTCGCTGCTGATAACTACACGAGAATAGAAGAAGAATTAAAAAAGAACACGTATTCACCCCCCTCTTGCTACTATTCACCTTCTCAAAAAGTTTACACGGACATAAATAGAACTTATCTCTACTTCATCAATTCTTGGTATCATCTAGAGTCTTGTTTATTTATAAGTGTATCCGGAAACTCGAGTAATTATGAATGAATTAGGCGATAATTTAAACGTTTAAGGAGTGTAAAAAAACGACACTAAATATTTTAAATTTATTAGTATATAAATCTGAGTTTTTGAGTCGTTCTTTACTGTGTTCAATTGTTTATAAAATGTGAGTTGTTTTCTTCTGAAGTCTTTGAATGAATAGAGTAAATAAATATTTAAAGAATGGTAAATTATAGTTTATTTTGAAATGTTTAGGCAAAATTGGGTAATAAATTTTAATTTTATATTTATTTTTTATTTTATTTTTTTGCTTTTAATTAACATTATTGTTTGAATTAATGAGGAAAACAAATGAGAATTAGTAAGGAAAATAGTAGGAATTATTAAGATAAACACTGCGAGTTAACGAGGAAAACAATGGGAATTAGTGAGAGAAACAATGAGAATTAACCGGAGTAATATGCGAATTAGTATGGATTAATAAGAAAAACAAGAGTTAATGAGAAAAAAAGATTGAAATTAGCTAGGAAAATAGTGGGAATTATTGAGAAAAACAGTGAAAATTAAGGTAAACTAAGAGAGTTCGTGAGGAAAACAATGGCAGTTAATGGGAACACAACTGAATTAACGAGGAAAACAATGGGCGCTTTTGAAGTAATCCATTGAAAAAAAAAACACACACACACACACATAAACGATCACAAACACGGTATAAAATTGAACAAATTTATAAAGTGATAATGGAATAGTTAAAAAGGACGACTCACATGAGAATCGAATTGAGGTAGATTTTGTACTTCTCTTTGAAAGGCCACTATATCAGCTTCACTGGTATTATGACTATCGCCCTGAGAAGAATTGAAACTGTCTTTGGTTATAAACTTGTTCCTCTTCTTACGTAAACTAGAGAAACGAAACGTTTTCTTATGATTAGCCGCCGGAGAAACGGTGGGTGTTCCCTCTTTCCTCTCTTTGTTGGACCACAGGAAGTTGAATTGGTTCATGGTGATGGACAACAAGGACATGGGCCCTATGCTGGGTGCTAGGGGCTGGACGGGTGGCAACTGATTCTCCGATTTCAGCGAGTCTCTTCTTGGTGTTTCCGTTTGCATGGGTGACAGAGTGGGACTAGAGCAATTGATGGTCAGATTCACCTTCCTCCTGGATCGGAGGGAATCGTCGTTTCCAGTCGAACTGGTGCGACTTCTGTTTTCTCCGGAAGCTACGCTCGAGCGGGATGCCGTGCACCACTTCCTTTGCAACATGCTACCCAACAAACGATGCTGAAGTAGTCTCAGGAGGATCAGAGGATGAAGAACCATGGGCAACACGGCCAGATAGTACCAATAACTATTGCTATCCTCCTCGCCATCCCTGTCCACTGATATTCGAGGACCTGAAAGGAGTTTTAATTAGTTCGAAACTGGAAGAATGTATACACAGTCGAACCTCGATATAACGCCAACAACGAACGCTTTAGCCGCCTTTTAACTACGAAATTATACCGCAAAGGAAGCAACATTCCTACCAGATTACATTGTCAGTAGATCTCATTATTTTATGTAATTCTCATTGTTCCAGGAAACTTCGGTTTAGCGCCATATTTTATTTACTGAGGCAAACAAATGACGGCGATATATCAAGGTTTGACTGCACGTATGTACGTTTTAAAGTGGTTTTAAGTGCATTAAATGGAAATTTAAAGAAAGTTTATACCCTATAAATTCTCCTCGATTTAAGGAAACATTAAATATATAAAATAACAAACTGATTTATAATAATAAATCCCAACATATAAAGATTCTTTATATCGGGGTGAGTAACAGAGAATTAAATTAGAAATTGTTTTACTCAACAATGACGTCAATGTAACGTCATTATTGAGTTTAAAGTTTTCAACAAAAAGTAGCGAATTAGCTCATTTACAATGAAACCAGCAGGGTATTAGGGTACTTCAGTGACGTCGATGAACGATGAATGACGTCAGTAGTGGAAGGGGGAGGGCTTTCTATGTGAAACCAGCCCTTATTTAGTTAGGTGTTTGACACGCGAATAAAATCCTGCAAAAATCACGCGACCGTTCTCTTGTGTCAGGTACGAACCCNTGCCCTCCACGTAAGCAACCTAAGATGACGTAAAGGAAACGACCCAGATACGCGGTCAGACAGTCGACGTTAAAATTATCCCTGCGATGATGTTCTTCTACGATAGTCTGTAAATAATTAAATTTTTTATAATTTCAATTTTTAAAATCAGATGGCGCCACACTGATTTTTATTATTTTATTTTATTTTTTTAAGTTGTAATAATTATTGTAAGAAATTAACAATTTTTCGCCTTTAAACTTACAATTATTGTATGAAATTACAATTATTTTCGCGATAATTTTTTTTCTATCATAGTTTGTAAGTAATTAAGGTAATTAAATTTCTTACAATTTCAATTTTGTAAAAAAAAAGTTGTTAACAGATGGCGCCACAATTAATTTATTTTTAACTTAAAAAAAATTATTTATTCGTCCTTACAACGAATTCAATTTATTTTAAAAATATTTTATAGTAAATTATCGCGTGTAATACGCGATTTATTGCTTCATACTTGCAATAACTGATTCATCAGTATAGCGATGGGTTTATGCAATTTAGTTCCGTCCACGTGATGTATTAATAATTCGATTCGATAATAGATGGCAGCACGGATCGCGTTGTCATGGGTTACTCACGGACTACTACGCACTTCCACGTCTTTAACCATCTCCATGACGACAGTTTCCACGGAGATCCCGTTACACTTCCCGTTAACGTCTACGACAACAGATGGCGGCAGTGACGTTTGAACGATGTAATTGTCTTCTTCCGACGATACTAATGCCGTAGTCGGAAGAGTCGGTTCCTCTAAAAGTCCCCCCCAAAGAAAAAAAAATACATTTTAGGACCATTTCTAATAAGAAATTAACTTAAAATAATCTTTTAAAATTACCTAATAAATCGAAGAGATACACTTTATTCTTTAATCTCTGCTCTAGGCCCAAGTACACTAATACTCTAGCAGCGTGATGCTTAACAAATCTCGCGTATTTAGTACTGTGATTGGTATAGTACCATTCGTCCGATGGTAGTACCAATTGAATTAGACAATCGGCTAGATCGTTATCTATTAACACTGTATGGTTGTCTGGTTCCAACGCTAACGTAGCTACCACTTGAAGTACTAGACAAAGGAGTTGCTGTAAAATAAGTTTAATACACGCTATAAATTAATAATATTTCAATTAATTCTACAGATTTTCATCAATAAAACACATTAAAATAAAATTGAAAACCAGGGCTGTGGAGTCGCGTAAAAATCTATCGACTCCGACGCCGACTCCGTTTCATATTCATAACAAGTTGGTACGTAAAAGGGAGTCGGAGTCGGCGGATTTTTTGACGACTCCGACTCTTCCTTATCATCCGACTCCGACTCCGACTCCGACAACGACTCCGACTCCGACTCCGACTCCGACTCCGTTCATATTCATAACAAGTTGGTACGTAAAAGGGAGTCGGAGTCGGCGGATTTTTTGAGGGGGTCATCCTCCCATAGATAGTTCTCCCGGAATGCCACTCCCCTTGTCAGATAACCCCTGTGTTACGTTGCCGTATTTCATCAAGCTATTACAATCAATTATTTACACTATTGTCCTCGTTGTGGCAAACAAATTACCGTCGTCTTCAACCCGGAATTCCAGATATCGACGTTAATTACTGGCGTTCTGTTTACCCGCTCCTACAATAAATTATTATCGATCTTTTTTCCTTCATTAACCGTGCAACCTGTTAAGCTATTTTTCTCCCTCCCTCGGACTCGTCAACCCTGACGAAACACCNCCCTCCACGTAAGCAACCTAAGATGACGTAAAGGAAACGACCCAGATACGCGGTCAGACAGTCGACGTTAAAATTATCCCTGCGATGATGTTCTTCTACGATAGTCTGTAAATAATTAAATTTTTTATAATTTCAATTTTTAAAATCAGATGGCGCCACACTGATTTTTATTATTTTATTTTATTTTTTTAAGTTGTAATAATTATTGTAAGAAATTAACAATTTTTCGCCTTTAAACTTACAATTATTGTATGAAATTACAATTATTTTCGCGATAATTTTTTTTCTATCATAGTTTGTAAGTAATTAAGGTAATTAAATTTCTTACAATTTCAATTTTGTAAAAAAAAAGTTGTTAACAGATGGCGCCACAATTAATTTATTTTTAACTTAAAAAAAATTATTTATTCGTCCTTACAACGAATTCAATTTATTTTAAAAATATTTTATAGTAAATTATCGCGTGTAATACGCGATTTATTGCTTCATACTTGCAATAACTGATTCATCAGTATAGCGATGGGTTTATGCAATTTAGTTCCGTCCACGTGATCGCATAATTCTATAACCGACGATAGATGGCACTGTAGGGAATTCAAAATTGATAGAAGACATTCGGGGTTCGTAGCCATTTTGGATAAAACATGAAGGCTGTTTTCTGCTCTGGAAACTCTCAAATCGAAATTCTCTCCTATAAATAAATATATATATTAAAAAATTTAACTCACTGGATCGTGCGTAGAATCGAGAGCCGCTATAATTATCTTTAAATGACCATCCTCTAGCAATTTCTTTTGTGCTTCTTCAGCTTGAGACAGGTAAAGAATTGCTCTAGCACTCAATATCTGTAGACAATGATAATTACAATTCCTCCATCTGTAAATAAGGCAGTAACATTATTACTTTTTACTTGTTTTACAATTGATAAATCATTATCGATTTCTTTTCAAAGTTCTTAAAACTCTTTAAAAAAACATTTAACATTTTTGCTATTGTCGTAATGTAATTATTAAACTGTTAATGGCTTTAAATACATTATGTCGCTATAACAATTAACTGTATATTGCTTTCATAAAACTAACTTTGCGGTTATTGTAATTAACTGTAGTCATTTAATTATGTATAGAATAATGGATAATTAATGTACTTAATTATTTATCTATAAATTTTATATATATAATACATTAAAGGAACGTAAATTGTTAGGTGAGTAAATTGTAAGTTGTTTTTCCTTAGAAATTGAATAGAATTAACAAGTTTTCTTGTTTAAATTAACAGTTTTTTTCCTCCTTCAAACTAACAATAATCGCAATAAATTAATAATTTTCATAGAGCCAAACAATTCAAAATTTTCCATCTAACAATTAAACTACCATTTTGCAAAGCTTTAAATAATTTTTCTCACTGTATTATTAACGACCGTTTCCATATTATAACTTAATTATTAACTCTTTATATTTAAACACCCAATAATTACATAACAAACACACAAATCATTATAATACAACAACAATTAATTTTTGAACACACTTTACGAATAATCGATGATCAAAAGCTCTGTTTAATAATGCCTACTTAGCACAATGACAATATATCTACACGTGGCGACATAAAGCGCCATTATTAATTACAATCAATTAATGACTCGAGTTAATTGAGTTTTACTGTTTTGATTTTCACGAGCGTGTTAATTACACGCGTGTTTTAAGGCACGTTTTTTTTTTTTGTTGTAAAAATTGAAAAGAAAATCAAACTAATTAGCTTATTCTTAAGTGGGGTCGTTACTTAGATGTGTGTTTTTTTCCCCTTATAGAATATTTAAATTATGGGGGTGTATCTGCTCATTTTCTTACCTCCTACTGGGTGTGCAATGTTGTCTCGTACCCACAACTCTTTTGTGCAGAGTGATAGCATTATTTAGTACATTCAGAATTAAATCTATCGATCTATCTGTGAGGATTTCTAAGATGCTCTTCTCTTTTTTCCATTCATCTTCCTTCTTAATTGTCCAACTCTTGTTTTCTACACCGTTGACATTCACTATCAGATTATTCGAGTTTATATGATAATGAGTAATGCCATTTTGTATAGTTGCATCGATTATCTTGTTAATTAACAATAGGGATGTGTACTGTAGAGAATGCCCTCCACGTAAGCAACCTAAGATGACGTAAAGGAAACGACCCAGATACGCGGTCAGACAGTCGACGTTAAAATTATCCCTGCGATGATGTTCTTCTACGATAGTCTGTAAATAATTAAATTTTTTATAATTTCAATTTTTAAAATCAGATGGCGCCACACTGATTTTTATTATTTTATTTTATTTTTTTAAGTTGTAATAATTATTGTAAGAAATTAACAATTTTTCGCCTTTAAACTTACAATTATTGTATGAAATTACAATTATTTTCGCGATAATTTTTTTTCTATCATAGTTTGTAAGTAATTAAGGTAATTAAATTTCTTACAATTTCAATTTTGTAAAAAAAAAGTTGTTAACAGATGGCGCCACAATTAATTTATTTTTAACTTAAAAAAAATTATTTATTCGTCCTTACAACGAATTCAATTTATTTTAAAAATATTTTATAGTAAATTATCGCGTGTAATACGCGATTTATTGCTTCATACTTGCAATAACTGATTCATCAGTATAGCGATGGGTTTATGCAATTTAGTTCCGTCCACGTGATCGCATAATTCTATAACCGACGATAGATGGCACTGTAGGGAATTCAAAATTGATAGAAGACATTCGGGGTTCGTAGCCATTTTGGATAAAACATGAAGGCTGTTTTCTGCTCTGGAAACTCTCAAATCGAAATTCTCTCCTATAAATAAATATATATATTTTTATAAATATATATATATAACTTTATAAATAATGTATAAAGTACACGTGTATTATTTCAAGCGGAATTCTCATCACCCATCATTTTTTTTTTCTATATTTATACCCTTTTATCCCGCAAACACATAATTATTATCGACTTTATCCGATACACTTAGCCGCGACGTCATATTTACGATGACGTCAAAGCGTAATAAATCACCAAGGAATGGATGACGTCACGCGGCCGGGACGTCGATGCTCACTTCTGACGTCACTAGAGAGAGAAAGGGAAAGAAGTGGGGGAAAGAAAAAAAGGGACATTTCCTCGGGGAGATAACTGATAAGTGTTGATGATGCATTAAGTAATACAAAATTCCGGAAATTACCCACGTCTATTTAGAAAACGGCGTAGGCGAGCTGTACAAATGCCTCGGGTACAGTTATTGAAGTGATAAACTGAGGAAATTACCCACGTCTATTTAGAAAACGGCGTAGGCGAGCTGTACAAATGCCTCGGGTACAGTTATTGAAGTGATAAACGGAGAGAATTATATATATATATATATATATATATATTTGGTGGAAGAAATGTCACCGGGTCGATGTCGGGCCGGTAGCAAATACTATAAGATCATTGGCAGAATGTTGCAGCATTACAAANGTAGGCGAGCTGTACAAATGCCTCGGGTACAGTTATTGAAGTGATAAACTGAGAGAATTATATATATATATAATGATTAATGGTGGAAAAATCTATTAAGGAAATCAAGGTGAATTCGTCTGATGAAATATACGGCTATGTAATTCCTTCGGGGGTGTCGTATGTCTAGATAATTAGATTATGAGAGACGTGAATTGTTTTTTTAGAAAGTATCATTAATTGTGTGATGTATTTATATGACTTCGATAGTTAAGAAAATGTCGTGGGGTCTTTAGGGAAAATACTAATTATATATAGGCTTTTTTTAAGCTTGTTTAATGGAATTATAGTACAAAAATTACGTCAAATTGGATTGGATTGGGCAAAGCAATACTTGGGCGATCTGTTATGCAGAAGGACTTTTTATGGGAAACTCTCCCCTATTTAGGTGTTGGTGCCTCCCAGGAGGGGAAACTGTTCGTCTATTTAGATGTTGGGTGCCTGCAGGAGGATTTTCTGTGGGAAAAATCACCCCTGTTGAGGTCTTCTGTCTCCCAGGAACTATGGGAAATTTGTTTCCCTATTTAGGTATTACTTGCCTCCCAGGAGGACTTTCTCTGTAGAAACTGTCCCCTATTTAGATGTTTGACACGTGATGAATACCTGGAAACGTCCATGTTGCTAGTCTCTTGGTGAGGTACGAACCCGCGAAAAACAACAGTGGATAAAAACCTATCCAATCGGCCATTGGTGTAACTTATAGTATACGTGAAATTGCAATATATAACGGATTTTAAGAAGTGTAGAACATAATTCAGTTAAACCTCTGAAGAAACGGCCACAGAAACAAACAAAAAAATAGTTGTTAGAGTTTATTTTGTATGCACTTTTGTTTAAAAAACACGGCCGTTATTGGAGGTTATACGTATATATAACCTCTCCACCTATAATGGCTCCATATATACTTATACATAAGTATAACAATATATAAAGTTATATAGATGAGTACTAAGCAATAATAAGCTGGTAAATTCATCAATAACATAGAAATCTATACAACAACTACTATTAAATAACCAAGTGACATTAAAACTCATATTCTATTCTCATATTAAATTAATTAATTAGTTGAGTGTATTCAATTAATGGAGAATTAAAGCAGAATTATGAGCTAAATCGCAGCATGGATAGAAAGTAGTAATAATTTAAGCAGTTAGAAGGGAGATGGCTCGAGTCTGTCGTGCAAAGGGGCTCAAGTTATGTGTAAAGTGTACGCGACTAAAGGAAAAACTCATATTCTTTGAAGTATAAATTGTGTACAGTTGTAAGAGATGGAAGAAAAATCATTCTTGTCTAAAGAAAAATGAGATTGGTTGCAATGTACCCGCATAAAATGAAAAAAAAAAGGAGCATAAAAATCCAGCGTGCAATTGAATCAACTACATAAATAAAATAATGTACAATAAATATAGGTTTAAGATAATAACATATATCATAAATAAAACACAGACTATGATACAAATATAAGTTATATAAGAGCGTACAATATATGCTTAAGAATGCGTGGTATAACGAAATAATTAATCATTAAAATTAAATAGAACATAGTTTATTCAATGATTACGGAATAAATTTTATCAATAATGAACTTAATCACCTTAGATTTGTAAAGAATTAAAAGCTGGTTCAAAAGTCAGTTAACCCGAGCTTAAATTTTTCGCTTATAGGCCTAAATACTCTGTTGAACATAAATCAGAAAACGTTTACCGTGGTTAACTGACTTTTGAATCACTCTATAGCACATTACATCAATTTGACGTCATTCTTACAGTTTTCTTGCGAGAAATTGTAGTGGTGATGTCAACTCGACGTAGTTAATGTACTGTACACTAAACAAAACTAACGTATTTATGACGACACACGTGATAAAGGTATAGAAAAACAACGTTCACGTACGTAAACAAGTAAAAAGAAAAAAATGACGTTTTCATACTTTTATAGATTCTGTTAATTGTAATTTACTGAAAATAAATAAAATTTAGCAAATTTTATTTACAAAAACACACCGAAATTGAAGAGAAAGAAAGTAAAACAGAACGAAGAACACAAGAAAAATGACAGAAATAATTAGGAAAGGAAAAAAGTAATAATAGTTCGATAAAAGAGACAAATGTGACCTTTCATCTCTGACCTCACTAAACTATTTTTTTGTGAGAAGTTCTTTTCTGTCTTCTTGTCTGTATTTTACACAGACACGATGAAAGGAAAAAAAAAATGAATAGGAGAGAAAGTTTACCCTTCCTATCTTATTCAGTCATCACTCTTTTTCTTCCAACATATATATATATATTCTTTAGAAGAAGATATAACTTGACAGAAATGCGATTTTATGTGGAAAATTTCTACTAAAAAAATATTAAAAATTAATATTGCATGCCCTTACTTTTTAGCTTTTTAACACGTAAAAAAGTAAAGGGGAAATTTTAATTTTATATTTATTTTTTATTTTATTTTTTTGCTTTTAATTAACATTATTGTTTGAATTAATGAGGAAAACAAATGAGAATTAGTAAGGAAAATAGTAGGAATTATTAAGATAAACACTGCGAGTTAACGAGGAAAACAATGGGAATTAGTGAGAGAAACAATGAGAATTAACCGGAGTAATATGCGAATTAGTATGGATTAATAAGAAAAACAAGAGTTAATGAGAAAAAAAGATTGAAATTAGCTAGGAAAATAGTGGGAATTATTGAGAAAAACAGTGAAAATTAAGGTAAACTAAGAGAGTTCGTGAGGAAAACAATGGCAGTTAATGGGAACACAACTGAATTAACGAGGAAAACAATGGGCGCTTTTGAAGTAATCCGTTGAAAAAAAAAAACACACACACACATAAACGATCACAAACACGGTATAAAATTGAACAAATTTATAAAGTGATAATGGAATAGTTAAAAAGGACGACTCACATGAGAATCGAATTGAGGTAGATTTTGTACTTCTCTTTGAAAGGCCACTATATCAGCTTCACTGGTATTATGACTATCGCCCTGAGAAGAATTGAAACTGTCTTTGGTTACANATTAATATATATATATATATTGTTTTTTAATAAAAAATAAAGTAAAAATTTCTTAATAATATACAACCGAAGCGTATGATTTTATGTTTGAACAGAATACAGAAAATTCTTTTGAATAAATTTAGATTAAAAATGGTATAAATTCAATAAATGTATCCTATGCCAACTAAATATGGAGAGAGTAGAAGGTTGGTTTTTACCTTTGAGAATTTTATCTCCTCATAAACAGAGACACGTCTCAAAGAAGATAACGAGTTAATAAAAAGAAAACTTTCTTTATATTAAAAAAAAAATTAAATACATTTAAAATTGCATTCTAAAAAGCTATAAATTATATAAATTGCTCTATTATGTTCTAAATAATGTCAATTTCTCTTAAACCAATATGTTTCAATGAAATTGACACTGAAACAGATAAGCTTACTGAAACAATCAGTTTCAATTGTGTGTTGTACTGAAACTGAAATTAACACACAATTGAAACTGATTGTTGTACTGTGTTGTACTGAAACTGATATTGTTGTACTGAAACTGAAATTAACACACAATTGAAACTGATTGTTGTACTGTGTTGTACTGAAACTGATGTTGTTGTACTGAAACTGAAATTAACACACAATTGAAACTGATTGTTTCAGTGACTTATCTGTTTCAGTGTCAATGTTTCTTTCGTTGAAACAGATTAAATTGTGATAACAATTGTATGAAATTTATTAATTTTAATGAAACAGATAATCGAAATTAAAATCAGCTGATGAAACTGAAAATTTTCATTTCACTCAGCTGTTTAAATCGAAGAATGAATAAATTTGAAGTGAAATTTTCGTGAAATGAATCAGTTTAAGTGAAAAAAAATATGATTTAAACAAATATTAGCTACGAATTTCAAGCGAAATAACAACATTTTAATAATAAAAAAATTAATTTAAAATAAAAAATAAATTAAAAATAAAACTTTTTTTTATTAGCTGCGGGTTACTTGAAACGAAATTAATTTTATTTTATTTTATTCCGGAACCAATCTCAAGATAAATAAAAGGAGAAGAAGGGGGGCAATACCCTTGGATAATCCACCGTTCAATCAGGAAATTGCTCTTAATCTAACTATTAAAGTTGAAATCTTTAACCAGTGAAAAAAGAAGCCATTTTTATTGGAAATTGAAAAGAAGTTTATTTAGGAAGAAGGAAGGAAACCTCACGATGACAATGTTGAAGAGAAACGAGGAAAGTTTGTCATTTGAAGTTCAATGAACTCTTCCAAGATGGTGAGCAAATTCACTTTCCATTAATTTTATAAAGATTTATCATTACTTTTTCTCCTTATTAAATTGCATAAAATTAAAGTTACCTCATAGAAAACTTTTTAAAAAATTATCTTATTCGTCTACTTAAGAAGAATTGTAAAGATATTAATTTTAAGAGATGATTTAGAAGATTGTATTTAGGATTATACGAGAATCTGGAAGAGGATTTAAGAGAAAATTTAAATTAATTCGAATTCAGGAGAATTTTAAACTCGAATTTTAGAAGAATTCGGAAGAGGAATAAATATATAAAAAGAAATTCAGAGCGGATTTGAGAGAATTTAAGTGAGGATCTAGGAGAATTTAATTTGAATTTTCATCCGATTTTATGCGATTCGAGTAAGTCTCACGGGTATGATTTCAGTAACAAATCAATTAAACCTGATAAAATAATGCGCAAAATTACTTAACATTTAAGTATAAAGGTTATATTATATTATTTTATAACTTTAAAGGAAGAAATTTACATAAAATTATAGAAATTAAGTCAGCTACTTTTCACGTCACTATCTTCTTATGGGTGCAATTTTCAACCTCGTGAACAATTCCTGATGCTTACTACTACAATAAAACGAAATTTTCCAAGTAAAATTGATTAAAAATCTACAAATTCTGAATCCATAAGTTTAAAAATTGACATCCCACCAATCATAATCATAAAAATCGGTGTGAAATTATAATAAAAGAAAACACAAGACCTAAGCAAAGACTTCAAAGAGTCTCTAATATTAAATATATATAATTTCAGAGAATTAATTTCGTCTGTTGTTTATCAGTATCAGTGATTCTAAAAATTAAATTATTATATAAAAAAAGGAAAAAAAATCTATTAAATAATGAATAGGAAAAACATATAAATAATTTTATAAAATTTCATGTTATAAAACGAAATTTTATCAATAAAATTATATTATATAAGTGATTATAAATATATATATATATATATATAAATGGATGTG